GTTTACTCGTCAGGTGCGAAGGATGCGTTCTCCAACATTAAATTAAGCTCAAGTATTACGTTCGTGTAGCGTCAAAACTCAAATGTTACTTCATTCCATGTAATATACGTAATAGTCTAACTAAAAATACCTACTTATTACATCTACGTAACCTAGAGCACCGTACGCGTAAGGTCGTATAATTATATAATTTAAATTGTAATTATTAAATGGTATGACGTACAGAATCACAGCTTTGCGAATCACTTCCTTCGAACATCCTGTCCTCTACGAACGGAACAAAAGATCTCAATGAATTCCGCGATATCCCGCTGGTAAACGTAACGAACTTTTCAACAAAGCGACGATAATTTCGCTGCAAAGACAATTATATAATCGTCAGCTCGAAAGTCGACGCGATTTTATGGAACGATCGAACGATCTTCGTTTCTGCATTCCTCGAGCAGAGATGAACAATAGCACTGTATAAAAATAAATGTAAGCAGCCTTGAGATTAATCAAAGTTTAATTGCACCGACCGTATCTTTCATAAGTTTACTCGCGGAACGGCTTGCAAGATGAAACGCCGCGCCGATACATTCGAAACCGGCACGAAAATATTCACTGTTTACACCCGGGATTACGCAGATTGTTTTTTCGAGGGTATCGCGGCGAGGAGGGCCAGAGTTTGTTTCAATTACAATAAATGTTGCGCATTAAGCGATAACGGGGCCGTTTCTTTAGCGATAACGCTTTATGAATTGCTCGTTAATGGTCGGAACAAACGGAACGCGAACGACCAACGGCGACGCATAAAAATCGTGTTAATTACCGCCGGCTCGTAAACCGATAATTGTTATGTGTTTACATAAATTCCACGGCTGCCGATAACATTCCCGGAGTCGAAAGATCGAGCGATGCCCGGCCGGGGGTTATCAGTCGCGCGCGGAGGACTCTCCTCTCGAGACACTGGTCTCCGAAGATCGTTCTTTAATTGGCCGCGTTCGAGCCGGTCTTAATTTCAATCGGATACCGACCTCCATCGTCGGGGATTATTCGTAATTGCCGGTAATACCGGAGGCTAATCGCGTCCTGGAAAAAATATAATAGTTTCAACGAGTACGTTTAGAAAATGATTGATTGTTCAATTACTCCTCTGATTTCTCCTATCACTGTCATTCAATCTTAATAACAGACCTTCCGATGAAGATAGATTTCAAGAAATTTTAGTAATTTTCTACGATACTCTTCTAGTCATGTTTCCTGCAATAAATATTCTAGTAATTACGAACTATCTTAAGAAAAAAGAAAATACATTGACACGAGTCCAATGTAAAAGCAATACACAACTGTTTCCAATTTCGAACCTTAAATATTTCAAATGGAAGCACTAAAGAACTAAACCAACAGCGTATACCTCCCACGTACAATTAAAACTGCATCGACAATCACCGGGGCGATCGTTCGGAATAGCCCACTGATTAGTGACACGAAAATTTCAGTATCAAACGAATCAAGAGAGAGATTCGACGAAAAAGAAATCAGAACCGACAGCCGCATCCTCTTACATTCAATTAAAAGAGAATCAGCGTGTCTCGAGAACGGAGGGATCGATCGGGGATCGGCGATCGTGGAGTTCGTGAGCGGCCGGAATCGAGCCGTGCCGATAAGATCGCGTGACAACAGCGGGGGGTCGCCTGTGATAAAGCAGCCTCACACCCTCGAAAACTACCGAAACGGACAGGAGTCGTGTAACAAGGAGACAAGAGAAGACAAGGCCTGGACGCAAGTCACGATCCTCTCGCGAGAGCGAGCCTCTCTTTTCTCCAGCGGCGCGCGGTTCGCCGTGGTTCACCATGCTACCGACGATGACGTCGCAGATTCGATCGGTCCGCTGAGTGAGCCGACTCTTTTGCTCCTTCTCTGTTCGTGTCTCTCTCGTCCCCGCGTTTCTCCTATCGTTGCGCCTCGACGGCCGTGACTTTCGTTGTCCAGATCGTAACGATAGACCGGCGAACCGACTCCGGCGCCGTTGAATTATCGATTCTTTCCGTTTCGCCGGATCCAACGGCTTCCACGCGTAATCGTGAATCGGTGATTGCCACCCGTGCCGGGCTGTACTCCGTGATTTAGAGCAACGACGACGGTGGCAGCCTGTACAGGTTGTCCAACGAAATTGCTACCAGCGAAATGACCGTGAGCACGGCGAATAATTGATTAGATCTTGTTTGGACGATCACTCGCGAAATGACATTTATTTTGCTTGTTAGAGCGACTCCGTTTCAGGGGAACGAGGACGTTCAAGCCTTTGTTCTTCGTCGGAAGTGAGACTTTGCATATCTTTGTACGGTTTATCGTGGAAATGAACGTTGAATCTGAATATAGAATGTATATGTAGAATTAAGTTGATTTCTGAGCTGTACATTCTAACGTAATAGTTTCAATAGAGTTAGCAAGATTAACACAGAACTTCTGAAGATCTGAAATTACAAATACTAAATAATAATTAGAGCAACAGTACGCAGTTGAACACGAAAACACGAGTGTCGCGGATCGACAGAATCCTCCGCGCATCCGTCTGCAGTCGATCCAAAAAGAGGAATACTTAAAACGCGGGGACGATTAATCTGAATCACAAATAATCCAAAGAAGAACGGTACAGTATCTAAATCCAATAAAGCCGAACAAGAAACGGTTCCTAAAGCTATCAAACGATGACCCCAACCGAAAGCCGGCGTTCCATCTATCGCCGTGTCCCGTGCTTAATGGATTCTCCCCCTTCGCGGGACACCGACGCAAGAAACCCCGAAATGTCCCCCCGTTCCGCCCCGCAGTCCCTCGAATAGAGGAATTTTCATTGAGAACTCGGCAGAAAATTCCGGCGGGCGGGGGGTGCTGCGAGGAAATCGCGTCGCGATCCTTTTCCAGCGGGCGGGCCGCTCGCGCAGGAAAACTCGCGGCGGAAAGCGCGACCGTCTCGCGCGAACGGCGCGCGTAGGTATATAATACCTCTCTCGCTGGCGTCAGTCACTCAGTCAGTCATTGATACCGCGGGGTGATTAATGAAGAGTCAAGGTTCGGGATCACGGTGCCGAGTTCAGAGGAGGGGACACGGCGGGAGAGCTCTCGACATCGAAGAGACGAGACTCGATACCGCGCGTTCCTCGAGAATACCGCCGAGCGACCAGTCGCACGTGGAGCGCTGCTAAGCTTCGTGGCTCTTCCAAAATCATTCTACGACTTCGGTATCGAACACAAAAGAAACATCATTAAAATCTTGTAATTTCCAGTTGCAATGTTTCCGTCGTTTGATATTCAACACTGGTGAACGTTGATTCAAGCTGACAGAACTTGCGAAGTTGAAACACTTATAGCAATGAATCTGTATATAACTGAACAATCGCTCTCCAAAGTTTAAAATAGCTTCTACACTGCCAAAAATACAAGTCTCGAACACAGGAAACAATCGAACGATCAAGCTACCCAAATTCAAAGCATCCTCTATAACCAAAGGAACAAGCGCCAGCTAACCGCACTCCCATAAATCTAAA